AGTCGATGATCTGCTCTTTAGTTTTGCCAATGTTGAATATCCAAATGAGGCACATTATAATTATTTTATCATTCAATTGAATATATAATAGACCTAACAAAATATAACACTGTGCATAAAGCAATATTCTCTTATGATGGTTCACTTCCACTCTAGTTTTCAATCTCAAGACCATAAGATAGAAGAGCAGAATTAGGCCATTCAGCCCATCAAGTATGCTCAGCCACTGAATCATGGCTCACATATTTCTCACTCCCATTCTCCTGCCTTCTCCCCAAAGCCTTTGACCCCTTTGCTAATCAAGAACCTATCTATCTCTATCTTGAATACATTCAATGACCTACCCTCCCCTCCACAGCCCACTGTGGCAATGAGTTCTACAGATTCACCACCCTCTGGCTGAAGAAACTCCTTTCCAGCTCAGTTCTAAGGGGAGGTCTCTTCACTCTGAGGCTGCGCCCTCAGTCCTAGTCTCTTCTATTAGTGTAAACATCATCTTCATGTCCATTCTATCCAGGTCTTTCAATATTCTGCAAGTTTCAATGACATCTTCCCTCATTCTTCTATTATGTACAGACTCAGAGTCCTCAATTGCTCCTTATTTGAGGAGCCTTTCATTCCCAGGATTATTCTCGTGAACATCTTCTGGACTCTCTACAAGGCCACCACATCCTTCCTTAAAGACTGGTTCCAAAACTGCTCACAATATTCCGATGCAGTCCCACAAAAGGCTTATATAGCCTTAGCAGTAAATCCCTGCTCTTGTATTTTAGCCCTCTTGAAATGAATGTGAACACTGCATTCGGATTCATAAATTTGCACGTTAAGGTTAAGAGAATCCTGCATTCAACTCCTGAGTTCTTTTGTGCTTCAGATTTCTGAAGCCTTTCTCCATTTAGAAAAATAGTCTATATCTCTTTTTCCTACCAAAATGCAGAACCTCACACTTGCCCACGTTGTATTCCATCTGCCACTTCTTTGCCCAAAGTCTGCTTCCTCAACACTACTAGTCCCTCCAACTATCTTTGTGTCATCTGCAAACTTAGCAACAATGCCCTCAGTTCCTTTGTCCAGATGGTTAATGTATAACGTGAACAGTCGTGGTCCCAACAGGGACACCTGCAGAACTCCACTAGTCACCAGCTGCCATCCTGAAAAGTACTCCTTTACCCCACTCTTTGCCTTCTGCCAGTCAGCCAATCTTCTATCTGTGCTAGTACCTTGCCTCCAACACCATGGGCTCTTATCTTAGCAGTGTTCTGAGTGACACCTTGTCAAAAGGTCTTCTGGAAATCCAGATAGGAGAACCAGTGGATGTGATCTTTGTCTAACTTGCTCAAAAGAATTCTAACAGATTTGTCAGGCATGACTGCCTCTTGATGAAGCCATGCTGACTCAGCCCTATTTTACCATGCTTCCAAGCGCTGCATAATCTCATCCTTAATAGCGGACTCTAAAATTTTTTTAACCAATGACTATGGTCAGGCTAACTGGCTTGTAGTTTCTTGTCTTCTGACTCCTTCCCTTAAACAGGAATGTTATATTAGCTACTTAGTCCTTTGGATTCCTCTCTGACTCCAGATGATTCTTGAGAAAAAAAAAATCACCATCAATGCCTCTGCAGTCACCTCAGCTACCTCCTTCAGAACTCTGGAGGTGTCCAGGTGATTTATCCACCTTCAAGACCCTCCAGCTTCTCCAGCACCTTCTCATCAGTGATGGCCATCTCATTCATCTCTGCCCTTGACGGTCTAAAAGTTCTGGTATGTTATTTGTATCTGCCATCATGTTTTAAGAGAGGAATGGCAATATGATCTTTATAATTGAACTTCAACTCAATTAAGATATTTCATTACAAAACAGTTGAAACAAATAATCTGATTGGTAAACAATGCAGTATGGCCAATACCAGGATAAGATATGGGTGTTACACAAAAGACCATCAAAATACAAGAAAAGAAAAACCATGGTACGGAACATTCTGACTGGTATCCTAGTGAGTACCGACTTAACAGAATAGGCTAGAAGTGAAAGTAAATTCCTGGCTATTTCGGAGTACCTCCAGTTTGACGTAGAGGGATTTCTGAGGGTTTTTAATTGTAGAACGTTTTCAGAGACCTTTAGAGTCAGTAGCTTTTCCATCAATTTGATTACAATATGTTTAAAGTTAGTTTTTTTTTAAAAAAACAAATATCCCAATGATCATATGCTGTGGAGTACGTTAAAAATTGTGTCGGCATTAAGCTACAGCGTAACAAGGGTTAGAGTTACAAATGCTATTGCAAAGAGCTGACCTGCGGATGCCCCTCAAAATTAAGGGAATCAGTTTGAAACAAAAAAAGGAGTATGTGACAAACAAACTGTTACCTAGGTCTTGTGGTTAGGGTGTGAGGAATAGTTTATACGAACTTACTGTAGTAAGTCAAGGAAAGATATTGTGAAATAGACTAACAAAGTATTGACCATTACTTGCGGTTTCGGGAGGCTCGAGTAAGAAAATGTACGAAGAGCATGGTAAAAGCTGTTGTGGCAGTGTTCTCAATTGGCAAACTCAATTTACATAAAAGAAGAAATAAAGCTGGATAACAAGGTGTAGAGCTGGATGAACACAGCAGGCCAAGCAGCATCAGAGGAGAAGGAAGGCTGACATTTCGGGTCTAGGCCCGAAACGTCAGCCTTCCTGCTTGGCCTGCTGTATTCATCCAGCTCTACACCTCGTTATCTCAGATTCTCCAGCATCTGCAGTTCCTACTATCTCTGAAATAAAGCTGGATATTTGAAAAGATCGTGGACTCGTTCCTTATTTCTTAGGAACCCAACACATACATTACAGCAATGTTGCAAGCTGATCTTTGAATTTGGAGGGACAGTGCATTTTTTTTTAAAAATAAAGACGCAGTTATGCTGTTTGGAGATGAAGAAAGTTTTTGAGAAGATTTGCAATTTGGGTTGCGGATGGGGTTGTAGACTTGCTCACCGAGCCAGTGTGTTTGATTGCAGACGTTTTGTCACCCTGCTAGGTAGCATCGTCAGTGCTCCTCCAGTGAAGCGTTGGTGTTCTGTCCTGCTAGTTATATATATGTCAACCACCCCAGCAAACCAAGGCATCGCTTCCGGTTCTGTTTTTCAGTGCTTTTTATCTGGGTCCGGTTCAACGTGTTTGTTGATGGAGCTCCAGTTTGAATGCCAGGCCTCCAGGAATTCCCTAGCACATCTGTTTGGCTTGTGCTCTTATGGATGTGTTGTCCCAAATCGAATGTGTCCTTCTTTGTCCATGTGTATTGAGTTGTCTCTCTTGGTGGCTATTTGGTGTCCATGTATTCTTCTTGTCAGTTTTCTTCCAGTTCAGCCTATGTAAATGTTTCTCAGTCTTTACATGGTATTTTGTATATTATATTAGTTTCATTGGTTGTGGGTATGGGATCTTTCACATTCATCAGTAGCTGTCGCAGGGTGGTTGTTCATTTGTGGGCTACCACGATACCTAGGGGTTAGAGTAGTCTTGTGGTCATCTCTGATATACAGTAGGGTAACGAGTTTGTCTGGCCGTCTTGTGTCTTCTTGTTGTGGTCTGTCATGGAGGTAATAGGAGATGCTGAATTTTGGGTATCCATTCCTTTTTAAAAACTCCATATAAGTGCTCCTGTTCTGCTTTGCTCAATTGCAGGTTGCTGCAGTGTGTTGTGGCTTGTTTGAATAGCTTCCTAAAGCAGCTCTGTTTACGGGTGTTGGGGTGGTTGCTGGTGTAATTAAGTATCTGGTCTGGATGTGTGATCTTTCTGTATACGCTAGTCTGGAACTCCCTATTGCTCTTGCATTCCACCATTATGACTATGGAGGGTAGTCAGTTATTGTTCTCTTCTTTTGTGAATTTTATTCTGGTGAGAATGTTGTTCTTGTGCAGGTGGGTTTCTTTTAGTCTTGTGCATTTGATAAAGCAAACTGAAAGTTGAAACATCATGATTTCCAACTAATAAGCACAAAATAGGTAGATTGATGTCTCCATCACTGAATCAACAGATTGTTGCTTTCTAGATTTTCTTTCACATAAGATTATATGAAGATGGTTTGACTATACAATTAATTTTATGATTCAAAAAGGCACAGAGTACTTTTAAAGAATTTGTTTACTTGTATGCTCATTGGAGGACACTAGTATTAGATAATAAGGTGCACATAAATTTTTGTAAATTTGTCATTATAAAAATATCATTTTGCTGTTTCCTATTAGAAGTAAGGTCACCATTGTCTTACTAGACGATAAGGCTGCTCTCTCATTAGAGATGATTGATGGTGGTTTAACCTGAGGGTCACCACACCTCAGGCAAGGGGAGAGATTGAAAAGGAGAGTCCTTCATGGTAACCTCAACCAGTGTGGGAATTGTAGCCAATAGCCTGGGATTACTCTGCATCACAGGCATTCAGCCAACTGAGCTAACTGAACCCTATACATTTCCTATTAGGAGGTTATTGAAGAAAGGAAGCCTATGTTTTAATGAATTTCCATTTTTATTTTTGTTGCATTACAAATCAGTATTGTGAAAATACTCAAACAGAATGGTAGAGCAGACATAAGGGCCATACGTCCTACCCTTATTTCTTCTGTTCTCAGGAGCCAAGACCGAAGCAAGGAGTCATTTGTTTTTTAGTTTCATCAATAAAGGTCTTCATACAAATACTAAGACCAAGAACAAAGAAAGGGTAGTCATGTTCTTGAGACATGGCAACATGATAATAGTGCACCATTTCTGAAGATTTTATTTTGTTGTACATTTTGAAAGCTCTTTAAAGTTTCAAGATCTGGGGCCAGCTCTATGGTGAAATGGGTCATCATTAGTGTTTACAAGTAGGTGCAATCATTGGGCCACTTAGTCATTGAAGACCAATTAAAAGAACCTCAGGTTCAATTCAGGAAGAAAACAATGAATTGGTCTGAATACACGCTCGGACGAGTTAACTCACACCTCACCTACCTCTACTTCAGACACACAATCACTTACCTTTTCATTCCATTTATGCAACTGGCTGTACCTGAGTTTACAGAAGAGGAATCCCTCCAGGTGAATGCCGTAAATCTGGCAAAGAAAGACACTTTCAATGATTCAACATTTCAGTAAGAAATAAAACTGGAAGAAAAAACCGCAGTATTTTATAAAGTGACAAGCCATTTACCACATAGCGTACTCCCAGAGAGTCACTCCCATTCTCAGTCTGGGCGATGGTGAATTGCATTCTAGCGTTCAACCCAAGGACTATCCCACAAACAACTGAACTGACGACACACGTCTCTTTATATCAAGATCTACAAGCCTCTCCTTCTCAGCCTCCAGCGAGATCTTGGGCGGTGGCAGAGGCGGAGATTTCTGGTTCGGAAGATGAAATTAGTTAAGGAATTTAATAGTGCAAATACCTGAGCATTTTCCAGACGCTATGTGGGCGGCTCCAGTTCCAACGTTTTGCAACTTTACACCAAACAGCAGCCGCTTCTCTCCCTGAGGGGGAAGAAACTAGGTTTTAAAAAAACAAACACAAACAAATCGTTTCTGGTTTCATGTTAACTACTGACCATCCGACAACCGGCCAAGTGGGAGGAGGGCTGTCTGTATAATTGAGAAATGATGCTTACCAAATTGCCCATTGAAGAGACCACCAACAACAAGCAAAAAATAACAAAAGTGTACCTGTTTTCTTTGGCCATGTGAAAAGGAAACCATGTTTGACTAATTTGAGTTCTTTAAGCAAGTAGCATATTATGAATAAAAAGGACCCGGTGGGCTTAGATTTCCAGCAGATATTTGTTGAGTCCCACGTTAAAACTTATTGTGGAAAATAGAAACTCATGGTGCTAGGAGTAACACATCGGGATGGAGAGAAGACTCGTTGACTATAAGAATGAAGAAAGTAGACAAAAATCAGTCGTTTTCTTGTTGGCAAGTTGTAACGAGTGATGTGCAATGAGGATTGATATCTGCCACTATATAATGTCTCACTTTAGAGCCAGAGCCCTTTTTATATTTTCAAAGCAGAGGTAGATAGGCTCTTTGGGGGTGGAGGTGAAAGGTTATAAGGGGTAGATGAAGTAATCCAATCAGCTATGATTTTATAAAATGGTGGAGCAGGATCAAGTAGATCAGGTACTCCTGCTCCTAATTTGTATGTTTGTAAACCCCTAAATCATATTTAAAGCAGATTGAAATGTAAATTTATTAAAAAGATTATTCCATGTCAAAGAAAGATTTGCATTCACTTATTGGCTTTGAAGCTGATGGCTATCAGATGTCCAGAAGGCTTTACAGCCAATGTGAAGTCATAGATATGATGTTGAAACTGTGACAATCAATTTGTATATGGTAAGTTCCCATAAACAGGAATGTGATAATCATCAGATGACCAGTTTGTGATTTTGATTGAGGTATAATTGTTAACCAGGCCACCAGGGATCATCAATCCCCTACGCTCCTTCAAAATCATCCACTGTAGAGGGTGAGCTAATCCTTGGCTTAATATGTGATCCAAAAGCCAACACTTCCAAAGTTCAGTGCAGCATGATTCCAAAGGAAACAATATATGCTGGAAATCACAGCAGGTCAGGCAGGATCAGTGGAGAGACAGCAAGCTAATGTTTTGAGTCTGGACGACTCTTCATCAGAGCTCAGCTCTGAGTAGGAGCCATCTATACTCCAAACATTAGGTTGCTCTCTCTCTATAGATGCTGCCTGACCCACTGTGATCTCCAGCAATTTTTGTTTTCAGTACAGATTCCAGCATTTACAGTAATTTGCTCCTATGATTTCAAAAGAAGTGTCCAATCAGTGGTCAGAGGGCATGCTGGCCACCCAATCAAGGCAGACTCCCTTGCTGGAGTACCAATAGGAAGTGGTGCTGCCATTGCAGGTAGAAAAGAGAAGGTTCCTGAAGGTGGAGGGACCCTCTTCACTAAGCACACATTTTTCACAACAAAATGTTGCATAACAAATATTCTGGAAGGGGAGCGCTGCTGCAGAACAACAATTGGCCACAAGTGTGGTACTGATAGACCAGGGACTATGGATTAGTGAGTCTTGCATCAGTGGCAGGGAAACTATTGAGGAAATAGTGAAGGAAAGAAATAATCTCCATTTAGAGAGGCAAGGTTTGATCAGAGACAGCAAGGCTTTGTCAGAGGAAGGTCATGACTAACAAATCTGGTGGAATTTTTTGAGGAGGTGACCAAATGTTTGGATGAGGGTTGGGCAGCTTGTTACACAGCTATGAAAAATGTAGTTTATATGGATTTCAACAAGGCTTTTGACAAGGTCCCATACAGGGAACTGATAATGAAGATAAAAGCTCATGGGATCCAGGGTAACTTGGCAAGATGAATCTAAAATTAGCGTCGTGTTAGGAGACAGAGTGGTGGTAGAAACAAAAACAGAAGTTGCTGGAGGAAGGGTCACTGGACCCGAAACGTTAACTCTGACTTTCTCTTCACAAATGCTGCCAGACCTGCTAAGCTTTTCCAGCAACTTCTGTTTTTGTTCCTGATCTATAGCATCCGCAGTTCTTTTGGTTTTTATTTAGTGGTGGTACGACCAGAGCCAAGGTTAAATTCCATCTGCCACTGATCTGCCCATTAGACCAATTGGTTTATATCCTCTTATAAGCTGACACTTTTCTCCTCACTGTCAACCATCTGGCCAATCTTTGTTTCATCCACAAACCTACTTATCATTCCCCTCCACATTCCTTCGGCGCTATAACAATCCTGTGATCTTGTAATTGGCTCTATCCTATTTCATTGATGCCAACCATTAGTTTGTCTCAACGTTGATTTAAAAATAAATGTTTTGCGCTCATGCATGCGGCATAAGCGAGCAATTTACACTACAACATATTTACTGGCTTTTTCGATTGAAGTTGAAAGACGATTATAGACGGATTCTAATTCAAATTCTCTTTCAACACTTGGGTTCCAGGAATCGCTTTATGTCAATGGGGAAAGGTCGGATAGGAGTTGAAATGTTTCCTCGTGAGTAAACGCGACAAACTTAGTGCAGATTTCTCATTAAGTTGCCTGACGAGAGGTCCCTTGCAGCATTGAGACATTAATCAGCCAGTGTTGCGGCACTGACAGTGAAGAGTCTCTGAGCCTGCTGTGAGGCTCTGGCCCTGGAGGTTCCTGTTTGCTCCCTGACTCGGCAGAAACTGCTAAACCAACTCTGCGTCAGCGCGCCTACAACACCATGAGTAGAGTGTCACTTTCCGACGAATGAAACCAGCTCATTCCTCCCACCATTTGATTTCTCAAGGAACAGAAATAGTCAGGGAAGTACCTCCCTCTAGCCCGGAGACAAACAGGGATTGAGTAAACTCCAATGTCTTTGCGGTGATAGGCGGATACAAACCTGGGAGCAGGCTGTCACTGGTCCCTTGGGCCACACTTCACATGTCAGTCTGTGAGATGTAATATTTTTCCAAAGGTTTAGAGCTGAAACCTAATGGTGGGTGATCCTAGTCCTGCCTCCAAGCACAACATCCTTATATAGAACTGTACAAGCAAGAAACCAAGTAGATTATTGCAATGGTCAGGAGGGTCAACAAGGTAATTTGTAGCCATTTCAATAATTTAGAAATTATGCTTGAATTCTTGTTTTAAAAGCAGCTCTCAAAGGACAGCATAGCTGCATGCCAAAGACTGCATTCCAAACAAAAAGTTGTCTGCTCCAGCAAATGCAAATTCAGATTATCTACAAAGCATTTGGGGATAGTTTGAATGATCAGAGACTAAAATTCTAGAAGAAAGGGGAAAAGAATCTTCCACTGCCACCTGTGTGCTTTAGAGACAGCCGTTTTAGGATTGTTTCACCGCTTGTGTGTGGACGTCATCTTTTCAGTGTAGTTGAAACTTAGAATTTTTAGTGGAGACAATCATGGTGACCTACCAAAACTCTGACAGGGCAGCAGTGCATTGATGTTATTATATTGTACTATGTTTGGAGTAGCTAATTTAAACAACACATCTTCCTGCATCACTCACAATAAAATTTTATAATATCATTTCGTTTTAGTCAACTATATCTTAAAGATTAATCCAGTTCATGTCACCTAAATATGCAAATACTGGAGCCTGCAGGGAAGACCCCACAGTTGGACTCTAATGTCAATGGTCTGAGCTAATACTAAAAGAACTTTATGCTCTTGGAAAGATCTTATCTGTTACATAAGATAGTACTCTAGCACACGAAATGCATAATAGTATGGAAAAGACGAATCCAAAAAAACATGACTCTAAATTACAACAACAGGAAAAAGAGCAGATTGGGTCAGTCTAGTGGAAAGCAAACTTTGGACTATAATCGAGTCCCAACAAATGGCAACTAAATAAATGGCAGATCACCCATTTCATGTATGTTGAGGAATGGATATTAATGAGGACACCAAGAGAGCTTTGCTATTCTTTTTTGACAAGTGCCATGGGATCTTTCACATTAACATCTCTGCTGAAAGACAGCTGATTGCAGATAGCAGAACTCCTCATTTGCAGTGCACAGAAAAATGCCTACTCAGTGGTTTCCTCATTCAAGTTTGATCCTGAAGTTGTGTTAACCAAGCTGAATGGTATCCAAATAACAAACCCGATCCAAATGAAATTCAGAAAGGACTTCTGTGGAATCGCAGAAATACTTTTGTACCTGAATCAATGGGGACAACGCACTCTGCTCTCATTGATATGATGGAATCAAAATGAAACATGTTATGAATCCAACTTTATCCAGGTTCACATCCTATGGTGCAAATCCTGCAGTTCCCATGAACACAATTCCACTTCTCTCCTTGCCCCCAAATAAACCACATGTATGGACTCACTCCCTACCAAAGTCCTTCAACATCCATGAAGGAGAGAGTGATTGCCAACAGCTAATGATTGAAAAGGAGCAAGAACTGTTGTTATGTCTCACAGTTAGTATGCCAGTATACTTTTAAGAGAGGATTGGGTGAAGTGAGGACCCTGTGATAGGCAGTCAGCATCACTGATTCTGATGTGTAGTTCCCTGAGCAAACTATCAATGTCATTTGGCAGGATACCTCATTGCCAGAACTTTTGAACAAGTACCAAGACACTGCTTGGCTGGTGGTGAGAAGGGCACTACCTGTGAGTCATTCATGTGCTGCCTGGACTCTGCCCCACTGCATACTGCCCTCAAAGTTGCCTTGGCAGGGTGGGGTAGGGACTGTCACACGTCTCTTTCTGGAATGAGCTTTTGTAAAGAAGGTCTGGAGAGAGATGCAGTGGGGTTTTTTTTGAGGTTCATCCTGAGCAG